TCGTCTTACAGAGAGACGTAGAACGGAGATCAGAGAACGACGAGGTTTTTCACGAAGACGAGGAGAAGGCAAGGTAAAAATCTCGCACTGAATGTTCACCTCCACCACAGTGTTCAGCTCGCGGTGTCTCGCATACCCCCGCGTGTATCACACGGCCGACCAACCACCCGAATCGTGAGTTGCAAACTCTCGTCAAAGCGTACCGTTCACTGAGAGAACCGACGTGTGCGTAGCGGATCCGGCTGCGTTGGTCGCGGTGCACGAGTACTCGCCCGCGTGTCTTGCGGCTACCGAGTCTATCGTCAGGGTGCTGATCCGTTTACTACTTCTGGTTACGACGATGTCGATGTCAGGAATGTCGTAACTGTGGTCACCGGACACGCGTCCGACATCGACAGGCCGACCGTTCAGTGACCACACGATCTTCACCGGTAAATCGCCTTTGATCACGGCGCACTGAACGGTGGCCATTTCTCCCGCGTTGGCCGCCTCGTCGCCGAATACGAACGGCGCCAATTGCGGCCCGACTGCAATGTGCCAAACAATCTTTGAATCACGCGCGTGGAGCTTCCTTAGATGAACACACAGACGGGATTCTCTGTGGCTGCGATGAGAACGTGAAGGAAACGGAAAACGAGAACAAGAACGAGAACAGTTCGCGTGACCACGAACGACGCGTGTTGGAGCTGTCGGAAGTTTTTCGTTAGAGGGACGACGGATGCTATACAGAGCTGTAAAACGGCTACGAGGTATTTTCAGAGGAGGATCGAGGAACGTGGAGAAGAGAAATACGGTATAGAAAGAAGTAACTGTAAAAGAAGCAGTACAAGTGAAAGAAACATGGACCATCGTCTCGCTGTATCTGCGGGATGGATCCGTGTCCTTACCTGCCGTCGTCTCTGACGATAATCTTACCTTCCGTTCGCACGCGAGGATCGATCGTACGCGGAGTGTCGGAGCTCGTACGTCGTTCGATCATCGGCACGACGACGGCAGTGGCCTTCTGATTAAACATCATTACACTATACGAAGATTACTGCGGAAAACAAGAAGTTACGAGAGAGAGAGAGAGAAGATATACTGAGAGAGAATGTGTGTGTGTGTGTGTGTGTGTGTGTGTGTGTGTGTGTGTGTGT